CTTAAAAGAGAAACAGCTGGACAGAAATATGAGGCTCTATTCCTGAAAGAAAGGGACAATCGTACTAAGGTTTCTCAATCATATAAGTATTAAAGTTTTCACTTAGATTGAAATCATACCTGAAGGGTCATGCTAAACAGTGAGAAACAGTAAAAAGTCTTGGAAATTCCAGAACATGCCTTCTGCATGAATATGACTGTTCCTTAACCGAATAAAGATGATGACCAGTGATGCTTCAATTGCTTTTCTTTGAACTTTACTGAGCTATGTTCAAGTAGCAAAGCTCAGGAAACCCTCAGGGGTCTTGACACTAGACAAGTAAGTAGTCTTTATAACCTGATTTTTTAAAGTGCAATGGAAATATTCTAGTTAGTGACTGATTATCAATCCATACTATTTATTGTTCTGTCTTTAGGTATTCAAGAGAAAAATATGGGGTCGGCCCGTGGCTCACTCGGGAGAGTGCGGTGCTGATAACACCAAGGCCCCGGGTTNTGGCAGATCATTTTTCCTAATTAAAAAACTCATAGTGTTCATTGTAAAAATCACCAGGTAACCTAAATCTTTTTGTACAACTTCTACAACTGGCATGGGGTAAGCAAATCCACATTCTTGGAACCAAAGCATTAAAAAACATAGTAGATTTAAACTATAGTTAAAATGCAGTTAAACTAGAAAAAAAAAATCCCTTAATCAAGGGTGGTGCAGACTGACGTGTGGCTTGGATAGGAATTCTAGGTATTTATCTATCCACTTCTCACTTCCTGCTTTACTTTGAGAGTTGTCTTTTTGCAATTAGTTTGTAGGTTTATGCTTTTGGTAAAGTTACCGTGATATTTCATGGTTACTTGAAAATGTTGGTAATCAAGTTCCTTGCCAAAATTAAACTAAAAGAGATGGATTCTGACCTTTTGCTGGTATTTAGACTGCATCAGTTGGAGCTGTTGTTTCTGCCTGACTTCAGTCTCTGACTGGTTTCCACCTAAGGGGGGAAAAAAAAGCCATGAAAGTGAAACATAAGTATTAAGCTGGAATGTCAGCCACCAAGGACTAATTAATACGTGATAAGTCCACAACATGAGTTTAACATTTTTACATTCCTGGAAATATGAACATCACCAGTTTTCTTAATAAGAACTTGAAGAATGGCAATTGCTTAAAAGAGAAACAGCTGGACAGAAATATGAGGCTCTATTCCTGAAAGAAAGGGACAATC